AAAAAAAATTGGAATTTCCTCGAGTTTTTATGCGCTCCTCTTTGCGTTATTTCAAGAGGATTTTACTATCTCCTTTTGATATGTTAAATGTTAGAAGGACGCGCCGAGATTTCGTTTTCATATTAACTTTGCGTGTTGAATTACAGCCAAGACACTTTCAGCTTTAATTAAGAATTCTGACGCAATCGTTCCGTTTCAGAGATAGCGTAGAGCTCAAAATGTCTGTACGGAGATTCTGCAGATTCTGCTATTAAACTAAATGAGATTTTCTTTCAAATAATTCTCGTTTCTAAAATCTACGAAGAAGTTAGATGCGCGTGTAAGTTTTCATTTTAATCTTATCGATGATTATTCTTTATAATATCATATGTGTGTGTGTATATATATATATGTGTGTGTGTGTGTGTGTGTAATATCTTAACTACATTAACTTCACACAACATAATTATGTACTTATATTAATGTAGACTCGATAGATACAAATCAATTCACTACAATTCATGCCAACAGATTAAAAACAACATATATTTCTCATATTCATAATAAAGAAAAAGAAAATTAGGCAAATTGGGAGTCGATTAGAGAAGAAAATATTAAGTAAAATTTAAAACATCTGTGTCATTTTTTTCATATCGAAATACCGCGTTAAGATTTAATCTACAGTTCCAATCGACTATCCGTTTGAAAGTCGGAACCGTAAAAAGTCGAATCATTCCTATTCCACTATATGCATTATTCAGATCTATTTTTGCGTGACTGTATCAGCACACACAGAGAATTATATTATTACACGTGCGGCGTCCATTCTTCGCGGTGTATTTGGAAGAGAGAGAGAGAGAGAGAGAGAGAGACCCGCATAAAATTTCGGAAATTTGACAAAACCGGTGGGGTTTTCTCGATTCAGCGAAGGCTAAAATCGCGATTTAATATTTCGTCGGGGGCAGATAGCGTGCTTGTAAATTTCCAAGAAGATAAACCTGCGCGTGTGTTTGCCCGCCGGATCTTTGCCCCCGGAATAGCGAGAGGTACAAGAGAGAGTAAACTCCGCGATCCCGAGGCAAATTGCGGAGTCACCGCTACCGCCGTAACCCGCGCTACGACTATTTGCACGAAATCCGATATAAACGCCGGATTCGTTATTCGAATCTGGGAATGCCCGTAATACGGCGTCGCGCGGGTATTGGACGCCAGGCGACTGTGCACACACTCGTTTGCCACACTCGTTTAAAAAGAAAACGCCGGCCCGGGTAAAGAAGGGAAACGCGAGGAAGGAGTCGATCGTGCGGGTCCTTTCTTCCCGGCCATCGACAGAACAAACATCTCGCGATATTTGCAATGCACTTATTGCTCTCCCTCCTCTCCCTCCCTTTCTCCTTCTCTCTCTTTTTCAATCGTGCACGTACTCGTTCTCCTCTTCCCGAACACATTCCCCTCGCTATCTGTTTGCTCTGTCGTTTGTACCTTACCGAGATCCAGTCACGTCAGTGTCCTACCACGCAACACATCCTTGTGTATTCTCTACGGTCAGGTACCTAAGCGTATGGAGTGTCCCGAAATCATCGTAGTACCTCGTAAATTTCTTTATCGACCCGAAATCGATCGTTCTTTGATGAAAATTTTATCGAGAGGACGAAGTCCTCTCTTTAATCTAATTTGTTTTCCTTTTATTATTCAGCACTATGATGGACTCTCAAATTGCGACGATATTTCGAGAGGTGAAGTCCAGTTTTAAGATGGAAAAAGAGCCGTCTCTTCATCTGATCCTGCATCGCGAAAAGCATTTATTTAGCGCGTCGTCGACCTTCTTAATTAATCACGTAACGTCTGTAATTAAGGGAAATAGCAGTAATTCCCCGACATCCTGCGCGACATCAAACATACACGCGACGCACCGCCGGGCACGTGTGTGTGTGTGTATCGTGGATAGACAGAGGCTGGCGCTCCACGGTAAGGCAAACTAGGTGGCCACAAAGGGCCACCGACGCGCATACAAGGGCCTGTCATGCGAAAAGACTTTGCGTGTTACGAGGACCTTGCATAACCGAGAGTCACGCATATACACGAGGGGATGTATGTACCTGGATATAATACAAGGACCCCATCGTGTACTCAGCGCGAGCCTCTCGCGCAAGCATCTCATATGCCAGGTCGGATCAGGGAAACGAAACCCCATGGACTATGGAACTTCTATATCCTAACATACGCGAATTTGCGTATTCCCGTTAGATGACGGCTCTTGTTCCCGCGAGTACGTGCAGAGAAAGAGAAAGAGAGATCTGCTCTCGTAGAAAGACGGAACTCCGAAAGCGTAATAAT